ACAAACATGTGATCCTAATATCTTAATAAGACCCAGATATGCCTGCTTATCTTCATTTAAATGTGGATAAGAGAATATATAGTCCAACTGTCTTCAAAATTTAAGACAACCTCCTTTATTATGTTTTCAAAACCAATTTTATTTTCTTTAAAAATCTTTACTGGAACTATTCAGTTTATGTGATTGCCAAATGGTATTATTCTTTGCCTTTATCTGTCCACGCTATTTATTTTTAAAAGATTTTGAAAGCATATAATGATTTATTAAAAAAAAATGGTGACTATATATGGTTACATCACCAACTATGCATATAATTGATAATTCAATGTATTTAATATAATTAAAGTATGATTGACATCATTGTAACAAAAATAACCCCACTTACTTTGTTAATATTCACATAAAATGTAAAAATAAGTAGTTTAAAAAATAATTTTATCACGAGGTATAAATAAACAAAAAAAGAGTTGAAATTATGGTTACAAAACCATCCAAACATATAATTATTCATCTAAATATCTACACAAAAAGATGTTTTGATTTTTTTTATAAGAATTTGATATATATATATATATATATATATATGCATGTAGCTTACGTCTGAAAATAATGGAGTAATAGTTAATTAATAATGTTACATCGATATTATTCCATTACCACTCGCTCGGATCGAAATTCGAAAGTTATATTCTCTTTAACTCTTTACCTAATTTAAAAATCACAAAATGAATTCAATCCGAATATATCTATCACCAGTATATGCCCTTCCATATTATTTCTGACTTTTCTCTATCCGAATTTCTCGCTTCATGGTTTTATGATATTCTCATCTAATTTTCACTAATATAATATAATTAAAAAGGTAAAAAAAACAAAGAAAGTGTCAGAGAGAATCGAAGGTCCATATCAGTAGATAATAAGTTTGAAGAAAGTGAAATCGCGATAAAATGAAAGTTCCCAAAACCGAAATTAATATGACGCTAAAAAAGAATCCCAATAAATAAATTAAAAAAACAGAAAATTTAATGTAAGGAAGACACGTGTCAATACTGTACCCTAGACTAAAAGAGACAGCTCTGCTTTCTCTTCTCTAGGCTCTCTCTTAACTATCTTCTTTTCACTTGTCTCCTCTTCGGATAATCCTATCCCTCTCTCCCTATAAATACCTCTCCACTCTCCTTCCTCCTCCACCACCACTACCACCGGAAACAACCACCGGAAAAACAAAACAGTGAACCCTCTCAAAGCTTCTTTAAACACAAAGTTTTTTTTTTTCCCTTTTGTCTACTTCTGATCAGAAATATGGTCGGTCATCAAATGGAGAAAGCTTCCAACGGCACGGCGGCGCTGGAGATGCAGACCGGCGAGCTTGATCAGCCGTCACCACTACGAAAAATCATATCGGTGGCTTCGATCGCCGCTGGTGTACAGTTCGGTTGGGCTTTACAGTTATCTCTATTGACTCCTTACGTGCAGCTACTCGGAATCCCACATAAATGGGCTTCTCTGATTTGGCTTTGTGGCCCAATCTCCGGTATGCTTGTCCAGCCCATCGTAGGTTACCACAGCGATCGTTGCACCTCAAGATTCGGCCGTCGCCGTCCTTTCATCGTCGCCGGAGCCGGTTTAGTCACCGTAGCCGTTTTCTTGATCGGTTACGCCGCTGATATTGGTCACAGCATGGGTGATCAGCTTAACAAACCGCCGAGAACGCGAGCCATCGCGATTTTCGCTCTCGGGTTCTGGATTCTTGACGTGGCCAACAACACCCTCCAAGGACCATGCCGAGCTTTCTTGGCCGATTTATCTGCGGGGAACGCTAAGAAAACGCGGACCGCAAACGCGTTTTTCTCGTTTTTCATGGCGGTCGGAAACGTTTTGGGTTACGCGGCGGGATCTTACAGGAATCTCTACAAAGTTGTCCCTTTCACGATGACCGAGTCATGCGATCTCTATTGCGCAAACCTCAAAACGTGTTTTTTCCTCTCCATAACGCTTCTCCTCTTGGTCACTTTCGTCGGGGGGCTGTTACGTCAAGGAGAAGCCATGGACGCCTGAGCCAACCGCAGACGGGAAAGCCTCGAACGTTCCGTTTTTCGGAGAGATTTTTGGAGCTTTCAAGGAGTTGAAAAGACCGATGTGGATGCTTCTTATAGTCACTGCACTGAACTGGATCGCTTGGTTTCCTTTCCTCCTCTTCGACACTGATTGGATGGGCCGTGAGGTGTACGGAGGAGACTCAGACGCAGCCGCAACAAACGCCGCTAAAAAGCTTTACAACGATGGAGTCAGAGCTGGTGCGTTGGGGCTTATGCTTAATGCAATTGTTCTTGGTTTCATGTCTCTTGGTGTTGAATGGGTTGGTCGGAAACTCGGAGGAGCTAAACGGCTTTGGGGAGTTGTTAACTTCATCCTCGCTATTTGCTTGGCCATGACGGTTCTGGTGACCAAACAGGCCGAGAATCACCGGCGAGATCACGGCGGCGCTAAAACAGGTCCGCCTGGTAACGTCACTGCTGGTGCTTTAACTCTCTTTGCTGTTCTCGGGATTCCTCAAGCGGTGAGGCTCTCTCTCTCTCTCTGTTTTTGTGTTTTTTTTTTGTTCAACCTGTTTTTTTGTTATTTTACCATTGATTAATTATTTTGTTTAAGAAATTGATTAATAAGGTAATTTGACCAGGTTTTTTAATTAATTGCAGATTACGTTCAGTATTCCTTTTGCACTAGCTTCCATATTTTCAACCAATTCCGGTGCCGGCCAAGGTAAATTTTCTATTTTGAGTCTTTCTTATTTAATTTAAACTTACCCTCTTCGTTTTGGATAATATATAAGTCTACAATCTTCTTAAAGTGTTGGGACCTTAAAAAGCTATAAGCATTTAATACGTACAGATTCGTAATTTAATAACTTATTGAGATGATTCTATAAGTAACCGATTTTAATATATGGTGTTTCATTGGCCATATAGAATATACCATATTAACAAATTACCACTCAAAAAAAAAAAATCAATATCTCTTCTAAAATAAAAGTCTTACCAACACCAACGAAGAATTGTAATCTTGAATGTAATCATTTCAAACTAAAGATTTGTATCTTTCATTTCCACAGGACTTTCTCTAGGTGTTCTGAATCTGGCTATTGTCGTTCCACAGGTAAATCCGTTGGAAATCAGTTTTATTTATTTGATTAGAAAACAAAACTATTATGGCTGATACATATTTTTTGATGTATCAAAATGTAGATGGTGGTATCTGTGGGAGGTGGACCATTCGACGAGCTCTTCGGTGGCGGAAACATTCCGGCGTTTGTGTTAGGAGCGATTGCGGCCGCGGTGAGTGGTGTATTGGCGTTAACGGTGCTGCCTTCGCCGCCACCGGACGCTCCTGCATTCAAGACTGGGGCTATGGGATTCCATTAAATTTTAGCAGTGTTTGATTGGCTCTGTTTCTCTCATAAAACAGTAGTGTTATTGTGCAAATTCTACATAAAGGAAAGAAGAAAAAAAGGGGAATTAAACTCATTGGGTTGGTTTGTATTTTACCTAAACCCACTATGTTCCCCTTTTTTTTGTAACTGAATTTTAATTTGGAGTATATTTTACTTTTTGTCACCCCTTCAACGTACTCTTCAAGGCTTCAATTTTACGACTTCATTGTGTCGGACCTTTCGGTAATACCTCATAGTCTACAAAAGTATATAGTGACCTTAAAACAGTTTCATAATAATTGATTTGATTACTTACTTCACAAGAATGTGTTGTTTATTTAAGAATGTTTTAGAAAGAATCTTTATATTTAATTGTAAATATATGTTTAACCTAAACAAGTTTAAGATGAATGCCGATAGATACAAAATACGGTGAATTAAGATTTATATGTTTTGGTTATAAATGATTTAGTTTGTTTTTGCTTTCCATATATTTGGTTTGCACTTACAAATATAATTTCTTTAGACATCTGCTTCAAGATTTGTAGAATTCCCCTAACAAATATAAAGCTAAATTTGTAAGCTAGGATGTGCTAAGCTGATAATTTCCCTGGTGAATGTAGTAATAGCGTGATACTTCCAACTTTCAGATTCTGGTGAAGAAATTGCCTCCTACAATCAGATCAAATAGAAGTTTATAGAGTCTCCACATAAGTCTAGTACAATTTAAACAACCAAACCGCATAGAAGGCAGTAGCTTCTGCTTCTAATCAAGTTTGTGCAAGGATTAAAGAAAATAAGCCTATAACTATATGATTGCATTGTCTCGTATGCAGAGCCGTGCCTCCCTTAGTAGAAAAAAGGCAATAGCCTTAGGCCACATTTATAATTTTAGTTTTTAGACCATATATCAATAACAATATTAGTTAAATTAGTGAAATGTTTGTTGATAGAATTTCTAAAAGACTTTGTGTTCACAAGTTCAAGTCTTGTAATAGTAATTTTTACTTTCAAATCATACTTTATCTGTCTTTTTTTTACTATAAATCCAATAAACTTAAATTTATTCATCCACATATTTTTGTTATTCTACCATTTTAATATGTTTTTATAGAGTTTTGGTACTTTAATATATTTTTAAATGATAAACTTATTAAAATGTCTTATATATTTATTTTATACATAATTTTTTACATTTCAATGATATAAATTTTAAAGATTTATCTTCAAATTCTATGATTTGTAAAAATTATATACTTATAAAAGACTACAATTTTTTAAATTATTTTAGGTCATTAAATATGTTGGCACGACACTGCTCGTATGAATAAACTAACGTAAGAATCCATTAAAATTGTACTTGGAAGTTGGGTTATTGGCTACTTATTATGGAGTTCATGAAGAGATGAAGCATTAATAGATGTGATTAGTTTTTGCAGCATCGTTTAATTAATCACATGTATTAATATACTTAAACTCTTCATGAACTCCATACTATTAATTAAAAATGTTTATACAAAAAAATGTGCATATTATAATATCCGAAGGGGTAAAACTGGGAAACCGGAAGAGCAACGTGGGCCTTATCTTCTTCCTCCCTCCTTTTGTTTATCCTTGGGCGCACACACTCGCTAGAACGATTTCCGATTTTCAGAATTTCAGAGTAATCTCATCGGTTGCGATAAGCAAACCATATGATCGAATCGAACATGCTTCTTCATACGGTATCTTCTTCCTCTCCTCCCAATCACCACCTCTATCTACACCATTCCCAGATTCTCCCATCTACTGGCTCGATTAAGTTATCGCACAAGAAGATTTCTCTTCAGGTAAACACTCCACGTTGCCCTCTTCCTTTCAATTTCACGATTTACGCATCAGCCTTTAGCTGATAATCTCAGTGATATTAGTGTTTACTTCCTCTGTATTGCTCCCAAGGCTTTTAAACTTCAGTGATACAAGTGAGAAACAAGGGTTGATGTTGATTTCGGGATTAGTGCGAATTTTTGTAGAATCTGAATTTAGAATGGATCCAGGATAGTTGAATGATGAGTCTATGTTCGTTCTATGAGTGGTTTACAGTTTCTCTCTCTGAGGCATGACTGGTTTTGTTAATGAATTTGCTAATCTTCCTCCATGTTTTAAACTTGTGGATGAAGGCAGATACATGGAAGGACTTTGGCCATTCGATCTTTTCATGGTACGTTCGCCTCTTCTTCCCTGCCAAAGTTTCAGACTTTGACATCTATTTGGACTTACTTGTGCCACTCTTTCATCACTTTAACCAGTCTTAATTCGACCAGCATCTGAAACTATTGATTTTCCACTTTTTGATTTTTGATAACTTATGGTATTGAGTCGTAGATGTTGATTCGGATTCACCAGATTGATAGCTTCATTTGTCTTTGTATTCTCACCATATGTGGATCTACTGTCTGCAGAATTTGCTGCTAAAGGTTTACCGGTTTTGAACAAAGCTTCTTTGAAGAAGCTACCAAGCAAAGGATCTACCTTTCTGCTAGGCCAGAGCGTGTTGATGATTTCTGCTAACCCACAGTTGGCAACAGCTGCAGAAATCATAAAGCCAGAACCAATTTACGAAGTTGGAGAGTTATTTGAAATTGGTATTCAGCTTTCCTACTTGCTGTTACTACTGGGTTTGCTTGGAGTCGGTACTTTCTATGTCATCCGCCAAGTACTTGTGCGCAGAGAACTTGACCTCTCCGCTAAAGAATTACAGGTATTGAATTCACAACTTACTTCCCACATATGCACACAGCTTTGGCGTGGATACAATTCAGACCTGACAAAATGTTTGTGATACAAGGATTAACCTTTTGTGGTAGATAACAGTAAAATAAGTAACTGAGATGATAGGTTAGTATAGAGGGAAGAATAGATATGAAGAAATAATATTAAGGCCGTTGTCTTTCTCATATCTCATGGTTTGGTTTCAATTTGGAAACTTGATAAATCTGGATGTTATAGACATAATTAGATTGAATCAAGTAGCCATGCTTGCTCAACTGTTTGTAAATACGATCAAATCTGTGCTCTATGGGTTTTATTTTGTTTTGCCTGAATAATCTAAAGGAGCAAGTTAGGAGCGGCGATGCAAGTGCAACAGAGCTCTTCGAGCTCGGTGCAGTGATGCTGAGGCGGAAATTTTATCCTGCAGCCAACAAGTTTTTGCTTCAAGCCATCCAGAAATGGGACGGTGACGATCAAGATCTTGCTCAGGTAATAAAAATCTGTACAACATAAACTGTAATATCATATCCAGCAAGTTAAAAAGGGCCAATTGATATTGTGGTATACAATTCTCGAGATTAGGTCTATAATGCTCTTGGAGTGAGTTATGTCCGAGAGGAGAAACTGGACAAAGGAATCGCTCAGTTTGAAATGGCGGTGAAGCTGCAGCCCGGTTATGTAACGGCTTGGAACAACCTTGGGGATGCTTATGAGAAGAAAAAAGAGCTGCCTTTGGCGTTGAAAGCGTTTGAAGAGGTTTTGTTGTTTGATCCCAACAACAAAGTGGCTCGGCCTCGACGAGATGCGTTGAAGGATCGTGTTAAGCTCTATAAAGGCGTTGTGGCGGTTAAGTCCAAGAAACGGTGACGGTGAAGGCAAAGACGCTTGACTCGAACCAAGAACCGTTCGTCTCTATCCTCTCCTTGTGTCTTTTTTGTTTGGTAATTTGTAAGGAGATTTTATGTTAATATGAAAATGAAACTTGCTTTTTGTTTTATTATTTTGTGTTAAAAGGAAGGAAATGAAATGCTTTTTCAGTTATATGCATTGAAATATATTTTTCTTGCATAGATGCCTCTCATGGCTTCAATTTCTACGAATCCATTTATTTTGAACTCATGAACCATTATACTTTAGAGTCTATAAATGACTCACACCAGCTTAAAAATAATTCTAAAAACTTGGTAACCAATAAAACCACTCATCTTATTATTGGGAATGAATACAAAGTTCAAATGATGAAAACATAATGGTAAAATAAGCTCACACAAGATAATAATTTAATAAAGTAGAAACATAATCAGATGATGAGAGCATAACAATATAGAGGTTTTTGTAGTCTTTAAGGACACTTGAGCTTATTGCCATGTGTACGGAGATTGGCGTAGCAAGGACATGATGCTGTGTTTCCGGAGGTTCCCGGCGGCACACACTGACACTTGGCACAGCAACTTCCACACGCTCTGTAACACACTTTCTTCCTCGACGTCCTACTGCATCTCCTCGCGCACGCATGCCCACAATCTGTATAACATGACTCCTCATTCATCAAAAGTTGTTGGAGCAAAGCACACACAAAAAAAGAGAGAAACTGAAAACAGAGGATCAGAATGTTACTAACGGAGTCGTGGACGATGGTGTGTTCTCTTAAACGCCGCCATTTGGTTCTCGTCGTTCGTCTGAATCTATTAGCAACAAAGGAAGCCGAAGTTTTACTAATTTAGTGTCTGGAAAGTTTTGTTTTGATATATGGTTATTGTAACATACTAACAAGTTTACCTCAGAAACAGAGGAAGTTTCAGCGTTGCTGGATGTAGAGAACTCTGCAAGTACCTGTGAAGAATCAGGCATTGTTTTGTCAGTGTTTTTGTTTTGTTTGTCTGAAACAGAGAGAAGTTAATCTTGAAAATTAAGTGGGTTTGAACAATTTTACCTGAAAAAGCAGAAGAAGAGAGATGAGCATAACAAAAGCCACCACATTCATCTTCTTCATCTTCTTAGCTAGCTAGTGTCTTTAGAGCTTTTGAACTAGTTTGTGAAGATAGAAGAGCTGTGAATGATTCTTTATATAGACACATTTTCAGCTATTTTGTCTTCTTTCTCTTTCTCTTTTTTTGTATATAAGGAAAATCTCCTGTTGGATAGATATCACATCACATGCATAAACTTTCATCGCTGGACTTAAACATAAATCACAGATTTTAGATTGCGTTTTGCTGTAAAGTGTTGGAGTTTGAGGCAACAGTTTTGATTGGTGTGCCCCCTTTTTTTTGGAGGATATATAATATTTAGTATGCAGGAAAGAAAGGAAAAAAATTCAAAGCTAGTTCATTATATCTAAATCATATTTGTTACATGAAAATGAGAGTGAATTTACAGTACAAAGATATGGGATGGATTTGATTATCATGCAATGCGTGTGACTTCACTGACTTGTCGACACACGTGTGGAGACAAATGTAATGTGTAGAAAGAAAGAGGCAATTAGGTACTTAGAAGTTAATGTTAATAATTTTTTTGCCGTAATTAAGAGTGTTTACAGCTGTATCTTAGTCCAGACATAGAGAAACTGAAAGAGATAGATGAAGGAAACGCAGACACAATAATGTTCGGAAAGCAGATGAAACGAAAGCTTATTGTTTTTTTCCTGTTCCATACAGACGTTCTTTGATATTTTCAAACACATATGAAACTTCAAATGGAGAACGATATCAAATAACTATTTAGGTTATTTCTTTGCGTTTGCGTTTGTGTTGGTGTTTTTATTTTGTAAAGATTAAGATACTCTATGTAGCATGAAAACAGAAACGCAGTTACAAAACGTAAACTCTCGTTTTTGTTTGTTCCTAACAATTGCTAGGTTGCCTCACATTTGATATATAGGGACATTTTTTCTAGTTTTCATATTCGATAGAAAAAAGAAAAAGATAGATAATTTCATGCAGAAATATCTAAAAAGACAAGTCAATATATATATATATTTTTTTTTTTTGAGAAAAGTCTTTAAGTCAATTTATTTGTTATACTGTACTAAATAGAAAGACAAAACACAGCGTGCAATTTGCTTCTTCTTCTTCTTCTTTTTTGACACCGCGAGCAAATTGCTATGTGTATATTAATTGTGTGGGAGATAGGAAAAGGACTCGAGAGGAGACAATATATTAATCAAATTAATTTTTATAAATTGATTTCATAAAGTAATAATACTTCACCAAAGGACTTATGTGCCGACGTCAAAAGGAAACACTATCGTACAAAAATTGGGTTAAGCCCAATAAGTGGACTAATCCTTCATTGGGCCCGTCTAGTAATCGGAAAATATTATATAATTTCTTAATTAGCTCCCAATTATTTTTACTTTGAATAGAGGCCGTTCAACTTCACTTATGGCGGCTTCCATTTCTCCGGTCTAGCCTGCTCGCGTTGGATCCTATGATTCCTATCCTCTCTGATACTTATTTTCTCATCTCTGAGAAATATTATGATATGATTTGTGATCTTCTCGTTAGGACTAAATTTACCCTTAACTAGTCTTAAAACTAGCTATTAAGAACGTCAACGTGCGATTATAGAAGGTAGATTTCGGTGTTGTCAAAAAAAAAAAAAAAAAAAAAAAAGAAGGAAGATTTCGGTTTAGCAAATTTGCGGTCATGCTAGGTTCATGTTAAGGTAAAAAAATAACCTAAACGACTTAGAGGGTTCTGGTTATCGGTTAATGGGAAATCGAATCACACTTGGTTTTGGTCGGTTAAACGGTTAGTTTTTGAAGATTGTTACTTTGCCGTAACAGAGTTGGGATGTGTTTTTCGGTTGATCATCTTCGTTTTCGTCCTCTTGAGCTTATATGTTTGTTTGAGAGAGCTTGTTCGGATTTTGCTCGAGATGTAGGATTCCATTTTAGAATCTGAACTAGTTAAATATTTTGTTACGATTATTTTTCTTCTTCTTTATTTTCGTTTCTTTTAATTGTCAATTCGTGCAATAGTGAGAGTGAATTCGAGTGATCCTAATTTGTATAATTTATCAGTCAAATTCTTACGAAGGCTCAACATTTACCCGAACATGTACTATTAGTGTAATAGGTTAGAGATCTATATATATATATATATATATATATATATATTATTACTGTAATTGTATAATGAAAAAGAGTAAGAATGTATCTCTAAAGTAGAACCAGAACTTAGACCAAAAAAAAAAGTAGATGCAGAACCCTACCTTCTTTTGTACATCACTAGAACCTTGACTATCTTCGAGATTTTATCTGTATTTTGAATCTTTAATTCGTATTTAAGAATTTGAGATCCCAATGTTCAAAAAAAAAAAAAAGAATTTGAGAACCGTACACAAAAAGTTATGATTGTGTGTAGTGTACCATTTGAATTCAAATACGGTATAATGGTGTTACTTACCCCCAAAAAATGATGGTCATTATTTAGAATTTTGATATAAATGAAAGTTTAATTTTTGTGGTCAAATTTGAAAGCTGGATTGATTTATATTTTATTTCATTATTAAATCTGAAAATATTCACTGTTAAAATATCTCAAAAGAGTAATATGAAAATTAAATATTAAAAAGAAAATAGATTTATTAAAAATGTCTTTTTATATATATGTTTTTAGTCATAAGAGATTCTTACAATCAACAGGTTTTTAAAAACCATTTATTGAATTTAACCAAATTTTAATTTATATATTAGGATTGAATAACTTTTGATTTCAACTAAAATTGTGAGACTATTGAGAATGACATAAGATTATGATTATACTGCATAACCAACATGAATCTTTAATCCAATAACCCCTCAAACCGAGTTGTTATTGTTTGTATTTATGAACAGAGAGACGATGAATCTTGTTGCTCTGGTCCTCCTAATATTACACCTTGTCATTTTTTCATGTGTAGATGCAGGCAAAGTCGTTTTGATGGATTCCAACATCACTCGCTCTTTCGACGACATAGAAGCTGATTTCTGTGAGTTTTTCTTGATTCTTTGTCTATTTTGTTTGCACTTACGGGTTGTCCGTTTACATAAGCTTCTTTCTTTTGTCGTCTACAATTCTCACACGCCTATGACTCTATGAGGGGTTTGTTTGAACCTGGAAACTGAACTTGGATATCTGTTTTCATAACTTTGTCTCCACGTCTATAATCAGTAGTCCATTGGTTTTTTTTATCTAATGTTCTTTATGGGTGTAATGATTCATACTTGTTTTGGATAAGAGGGCTTGAAAAGTTTAGTATCAGTTTGTTTCAGTTTCAGTGAGTATACCTTAGTAGTATATATGTACACTACTTGTCAAATTCGCTGATGCTGATGAAACTTTGGTGTTTCAGCTCCACCAGTGAATTCTATGGTAGAAACCGGAGTCCTTTACCTGGCTGAGCCTTTCGACGCTTGCCAAGACTTGAGGAATAAACCGAGGCAGAGCCCTAACGACACTTCACCTTTTGTGTTGATCGTAAGAGGAGGCTGTAGTTTTGAGCACAAAATCAGAGACGCTCAGAGAAGCGATTTCAAAGCTGCCATTGTCCATGACAATGTGGACCGCGACATCTTATTAGCAAGTAAAAAAATCTTATACTATACAAGTCTCTAATCTCGAACTGATGCTACAAATCTTGATTTTTTGGTTTTTTTTTCTTTTCTTTTCAGTGGGAGGAGACTCGGACGGTATAAAGATTCAAGCGGTATTTGTGACGAAAGAAGCCGGAGAAAAGCTCAAGAGTGTTGTTGGTTTGACGGAAAAGAAAGTCATGTTGGTCCCTAGTTTAGATGACTCGGGGTGGTTGTTGTTCGCGAACATAGCAATGATCGTGTCGCTGGCTATTTTTGTTGCGCTTGCCGCTTGTGTCTTAGTCTATAGGCATTGCACAACTCATAGCAACGTTACATTCCAGTTCCATGGGATGAGCCGTAGAATGGTGAAAGCAATGCCGAGTGTTACATTCACGTCTGTACACGAAGACAACACGACTGGTTTTTCTTGTGCTATCTGCCTCGAAGACTACAGTGTTGGGGACAAGCTCAGGGTATTACCTTGCGGTCACAGTTGAGTAAACAAACTATCTCCCTCTTAGCTTGGTAGAACAAATAAACTTATGATTCTATGATTCTTTTTTTTTTTTGGTGTTTTCTTCAGAGTATCATGCCGCTTGTGTAGACTCGTGGTTGACATCATGGAGAACGTTTTGTCCAGTGTGTAAACGGGATGCGAGAACAAGAACATATGAGTCACCAGCTTCAGAGAGCACGCCGCTTCTCAGATCTCCCATTGTAGCATCATCTGTAGTGGTTATAGACCCTCCTCCTGTGGGATCCTCTCATCACAGCTCGTCCTACATTCACCAATCGTTCAGGTCCTCCTCTCGTATCTCTGCGGATATCAGGCAACAAACCTCCCCATTGCACTTGCCATCGCTGAGATCATACGCCACATGTATGGACTCTTTGCACTCAATAGGTTACTCGACCATGTCACCACTCAACGCGATCGGCATGCCACCATATCGGCCTAGCCCAAGCAATGTGTCGCCTGGGTTAGTCCAGTCAACAAATCATCGGTTAAGTTCATTATCTCCTTTCGCCTCTGCACACTCGCTTCGAGACAATTGTTAGACCAAGCTTGCAGCAGTTGTTCATCCTTCTGATTTTGATGTCATCAGGTCAACAACATCAAATCCTTGTAAAGTTATCTATTAGCCAGCAAGTACGGATGATGTTTATATGTAACTCTCTGTTCATTGTTTGCTTCATTCTTCAACCCTTTTTCCTTTTTGGTTCGAATCTGGTTTGTTACGACAAGAAACATACAGCTCAACTGCCAAAGACAAATTAGATATTCTCATCAAAACTTTGAGATATCTGAGATTTAAACTAAAACTATAATGTCAATTAATTTTAAACACAGCAGATCGAGACACCAGATTCTAAAGTCATCACTCTGTCCGTTGTCGTTTTGCTTTTATTTCTCTCATCCAATCCTTGCATTCCTCTGCGGAGCCATTGGGATAAGCGAGCTGCCATGTGAGAAGTTTTTGTTGCTACAAAACAGAGCAATCAGCCTTATGTATAAGAAGAGAAGCAGGAGTGGATTCAACTGTAAGAGATTCAACAAAAGAAATGAAGATAAAAGAAATGCTTTTACCCATTCACGGATGAGGGATCCTCCGCTAAGCTCTGCAATTTGCATGATCTCCCTGCCATTCACCAGAGGCTTTACATCCCAGATGTTATCAAGACCTGTGATGTTAAAGCAGGAAAAACCATTACATGTGTGGAATAGTCCCACCATGCTACAATTTACTAGACATACTAACGCTTACCGAGTTCCCGAATGGTTTCCTCGATTGTTTGATAACTTTCTCGGATCTTGTCCACTTGGAAGTCGTGGTGCCCAATTTCTTGATTTTCGTCCATGCAGCTCCACAACAAAGTTGTTAAGAGTGCAACACGCCAGAATTCTTTGATCTCTCTAAGAAGAAACCCTGCGACAGTAACAAAACAAACCATTTTAATTTAGATAAAATATGGTCAGATTTAATAAGTTCACTAACTCACAAGTTGTATAATACTTAGTTTACAGAATTGCAGAGGAGATTATCAAAAATTTATAATCTACCATATGAATGAAATTGATAAATAGTTAGGATTCTTATGATCTTCAAAGTTTGTACGAGTAATAGAAAGACATCATTAGGATTATCTGTGGCATATTAGCTAAAATAAAATTCGTGATTTTCTTGATAATTGACACGAGTTTTAAATGAGGGTATATTGCAATACCATAGAAGCTATAGAGAAGTACCTGTGAGTACTCTTATTTTTGAAGTTTCTGGGACTTCTGGATCATCAAGAGAGATGGACTTCCAGTGCTCAAGAACATCAGCGGCCCAATCAAGCGTGTCCAGTTGAACATCCTTCTTCAACTGAAGGGAACGAATTAACGATAGGAATTTCTCCGTGGTTCGATGTATATTTATAACCTGAAGAAGATGGATTCCGTTATTATGATAGTCACGAATCTGTTAAGTCATGAAGCAATCAAACCGACAATGTAATGCAAAACGTAGGTGAAGGCTTTGATTTTGAGGCCCTGATGCAGAGAGATATTTAGAAATATTCTAAAAGCTTCCGCTACATCAGGCCCCCTGTAGCTACTGCAATTATGGCCTAGGATACTGAACATTAATAATCAGAGCTCACCGTTTCAGCATCACTAGTCTTCCGCTTCATGGAGAATTTGAAGATGTGGTTGACAACAGGAATCTGAAAAAAAAGGGCTCCAGTTTTGTTAGCTTAGACAACCAAACTCAGATTTTTTTAACCCAAGAAAAGATGACAAGAGTTCGAAGACGTTAGGAATTACAGTACCAATTTTCCCTTATTGTCTTTGTAAACGATTTTCTTAAAAGGGAGAAACAGAGCAGCATACAGAGCAAGCCTTCTTTGTTCACCCTAAAACCAAATGATAAGACACCAATAAATATAATTGAATTAAAAAAATGGGAAACTCTGTCTTTAGCAATTAAAGAAGAAGCGATCGCAACAGACTAATAACTCACACTGAACTTTCCTAGCCCAGGTGTTTGAATAAGGCTCCACATAGCTTCCAAGTAGGCTTGGCAGAGGCTAAAATAGCAGATTTGCAAAATGTGAATAATGTCACAGAACCAGATTTGCTAGGTCCCCAAGTGTTAACAATAGAAATGAGATAAACCTGCCACAATCCTCTGATGGTACAGGCTCAGATGAAGACGGAAAGGCAAAGACAACCCGAAATAATTTCAGATCAGAAAGATACTTTACTGCTGAAACAGGTCCATTCCCAGATATCATCAAATCGATCTGCACCAAGATATCAGTTGTGTAACGATAAACTCTAGAAAGAGAGGTTGCCAGAAAATCAGCTATATCCAGTAAGCAGGAAGATCAGATACATACTTCATTCCCGATCCGCTCTCTGCTAATTTTTTCTCCAAGAGCTACCCTTACTTCCTCACTTGAAGCAGCTTGTTTTAGTTCTTCATTTAGAGTAAATCCAAACCTTGCACCTGTTACGGCAGTAAATTAACCAGGAGTGGCAAAAAACATCCACAGAGCACAAATGAAGGATCTGAGATGGGCAATTATTGACATATAATGAAAAGAAAAACACCAGTACCAAAACGAATAGCTCGGAGAACTCGCAAAGGATCATCCAGAAATGTAGCTTTTGCAGGCAAAGGTGTAACAATTCGTCCGGACTTGAGGTCATCGATGCCTGTGATTTTATAAGATACTTGTAAGCTATCTGAGTTCACAGGAAATGAATGCTGGCAAAACTAGGATGCACTAACCTCTTTCTGTAAGATCTTCTACTGAGCCAGTGTTAATGTTGTAGAACAAGCTGTCAAATTTAAGAGATCATGAAAATGTCACACTTTGCGTTCAGTAATACGGAGATCATTTGTTATGCTACTTTTTGTTCACAACGAGAGTACCTATTTATGGTTAAGTCTCTCCTGTAAGCATCCTCTTTTGCGGTGCCAAATTTCTGTAGTAAAGCAAAGAAAAAAAAAGGCTATAAACTAAGCAGCACAAGCAGTTAGGTCCTTTGCATTGCAACCCTCGATAGGTTGTGTTATGCATTTGTAGCATATAAATAAGGAGCAGTACCATTGTAGGAATACGACTATTTTCTGTGTATTCTTCAGATCTCAAATTAACAAAATCTATCCATTGGTCATAGATGCGCATCTTTGCTGTCTCCAAATGTTTGGATTGTTCAGGATTCCTGAAAAAACAAAGGCCACCAAAATAAACCAGTTAACATCAAGAACTATAGAGTCTGGGAATTAGATTCAGCTGGAATTACAAGCCTAAAAGAAACTTCAAAAGTTCTAGACCTTTCAATAACAGTGTCGCCTTGTACTTTTTCGTCTCTAGAAGATAAATATTCCTTGAGCTTATCAAGAAACTCACTTCCTGACATATTGTCGATTGCTATGTCAATATCATCACTCTCTCTCCCTAGAAGCTGAAAACAAAGATAAAGCAAACATAAACTCTGTAAACATCCTCTATAATATCACTCGAGACAGAAATTTCAAGTCCGATGGAAGTATGCATTGGTAATATCCTCCTAGAGCAATCAATGCTCGTAAAGAAATCGAAGAATCCTCATATTTCTGGGCAAATTCCAATCCCTAATAATCTTTTCGACCTTTCTTATTTTAGGTTAAGAGAATCTGTAAACGGGAGAATCCGACTACTCCCTGAGCTAATCGAACCCCCACCAGGTGACCGATGAGTACCTTATCGCGTACCCAGCCACCGGCGACTCGAAGCTGCGTGTCGAGGTTGCAATAACGGAGAGTGCCGAGAAGCCGGTCGAAAATTTTCTGCTCTTTCTCAGTGAGATCAATCGTCTCCTTCAATTCGACCGAGAGCGTCGATCGCTTCTCCTCCTCCTCCCCTACAACATTCGTCGTCATCGCCTTCGTCGTCGAGTACCAGAAACAACACAGACTGGAGGAAACAACGCCGGAGCTGGGAATAAGTGATGAGGTGCGAAACGCGACGGTTGAAGAACGGCTCGGGTTACGGTAGCGAGAACGGGAAATCAGAAGAAGAGGTCTCGGCAGATTTATAAGAGTGTTGATTGGAAGTGACAGTCTCATGGTTTTTTTTTTTTGGCGGCTCGTTTTAATGGCGCGTTTTTCTTCCGCTGCGATTTACGGGCAGCGTCTGAACGAGCGGTGTGTATTGGGCCAGGTCGGATCCTTATACGTTAGAACTATTTTTAGGCCAGGCCCAATTGAACAATTATTAATATTATTTCACACAACAGTTATATGAAACATTGATGAGTTATGCATATTTTAGGCCCTATGAACCACTATTTGGGATTTTAGACCGTATCTTATGAGATCTATTTTGGTGATTTGATCTATATATAGGAGTCTAATACAGTATATTAGTATAATCAATCTTACATAATGTTTTTTTTTTTTGAAAGAAGGGCATCTTACAAATAGTGATATTGAGTTGAAGTATATGATGTTTATAAACAGAAAAAAGAAGGTGCATAACGACTTCTTTTTCATCTGGTGAAAATATCCAAAGGTAGCAACACTATTTTAATCTAATCCATTATTTGAAGACTTTACGTGAAAGCTACGAAACTATGAGCCTTTAAATAGATTTACACGCACGCATAATGCATTAGATCTTCAATAATCAATACCAAGAAGAAGAAAACGAAAAGCAATCCCCCCCATTGATGACTACATACGTAACAAACAAAATCAAGTAACAACACATAGAATTTCGGTTGAATATAAGTCAACAGCTTATAATTTTTTCTGGTTTTCTGTACTACAAATTTAAGGTTTAAAGTCAAATTTTGGGTCCTTAACATACACACAGACACACAGATGGAGTTAATAGTTGAAAACGTGAACAGCTCTCAGCTCCCATCAACTACAAGACCTAACTTGAAAGCAAATATACAAATCAGGGAGAGAAATTAGACCTAATTTACAACGTACGTCTACGTAAGTTGAACCGCATGCACCGCCAAACTCAACTCACAATTATATTTTGCAAAATCCACGCTTTATTTTATGGAAACAAATCAACAGTTATATACCAATTTATCAACTTGCGATGGAAAAGTTTTATCACGTAGCAACTATTTCAGTTTACGCTATTGTCAACTTTACTAATTATGATTGATTTTCAAGATATATGACACTTTTTTTTGTGAAATGACCCATAATCAAATCATTTGAATTCACCAACAAAAAATGCCATCTTAAGCAGTCCTTATACGTACGTGTTTCCTAAAGAGTATCTTGACTAAATTTGGAAAATGCGAATTCAATGTGACCAAAGTTTATTCTCAGCATATACCTCTTTACGAACAAGTCCTATACACACATATCAACAATGATAAATTCAACCGCAAGAAAACGAAAAAATATAAAAGGAAAAAGGAAAATCATGGCATTTAAGTTAACGTACAAAGTGGTAATTTCAGCATGCAACTTGCCGGACGATACCAAAATATTAGAAAAGGTATAAGCGAGATATTGAACTCCGACAGGGTATGCCAATTGGTCAAGCTATCACAATTTACAATGATGAAAAGCCAAATTATAAAGACTGAAAACTATGGGTAAAGTTTTAAAAAATAACATAAAAACTTATAAAGCCGATCGAACCGGCGAAAAGTCCAGTGGCCCAATCGATACATATGAAGCCAGGGAAAGATTGTCAGAGGAGCAGAAAACGATGTCGTTTCTTGCGTGTGAACACCACGCTCCAATCACCTTCTCTCTGCGACAAAAGCCACTAGCCTTCTCCTTCTCTCTCTCTCTCCACCATTACCACAGTCAAACGAGAGACTTTCCACGTTCGTCGTTTTCTCTTCCTCTATATATATCTCACCTCTTCCTTTCTTTTTCCTTTTTTTTCTCTCTTCTTCTTAATTATCTCTCTCACATTTATTCGCCGGCCGATTTCTCCGTCTTAAAAAAGGTCCGTTTATCCTCTCGTTCTCAGATCTGAGCTACAACGATTTTCTCTGCATTTTCAATATTTTTTTTTTGGCATCGATAGTTTTTTCTGTTGTAATGATCTTGATAACTACACGATTTTGTTTTGACATTAACAAGAACAGTACTAATGACGATTACTAATTTAAATCACCCTTATCCAGATAAATCCAATCTTAAATATTTCCGTTACATTTTCCGTTTTTTTTAATATATATGATATTCCAGATCTAAACCAAAAATTCAGTGATTCCATATGGACGATCTCCGAGGAGTAAACTCACAAAGCTCGATATCGGAGCTGGACGACCTGGCTCGGTTACTTGACCGGCCGAGGCTAAACATCGAACGGAAAAGATCGTTCGACGAGAGGTCCTTCAGCGAAATGGGAATATTCGACAGCGTCAATTCTTCCGGCGGCCGGTCTGGTTGGGAAACTCCGGCTTCTTCCACTAGAAACTCGTTCGAGCCACATCCTATGGTCGCCGAGGCTTGGGACGCTCTACGTCGTTCTCTGGTTTACTTCCGTGGCCAACCTGTTGGTACCATCGCTGCCTACGACCATGCCTCCGAGGAAGTCTTGAATTATGACCAGGTTTCGTTCATTTTTTCTTTCTCTCTTTTATAACTTTTGGTGTATATATAAAAAAAAAACAAAACTTTTGGTGTATCCCATACTCTGTTTTGAACCATGCTCTGTTTTGAAACTATTCTTTGATTACGTTAGGTATTTATGAATCCCGGTTCTCTAGACAAGCCATTGAATTTTTGAACGTTTTGCTCAAAAAATGTTTTGTTTAGGTTTTCGTAAGAGATTTTGTTCCAAGCGCATTAGCTTTCCTAATGAACGGAGAGCCAGAGATAGTCAAGAACTTCCTCCTCAAGACAATTCAAATCCAAGGAAGGGAGAAAAGAATCGACCGGTTCAAGCTCGGCGAAGGCGCCATGCCTGCTAGCTTCAAGGTCCTTCACGACCCGATCAAGAAAACAGACACTGTCATCGCTGACTTCGGAGAGAGCGCGATCGGAAGAGTGGCTCCGGTTGACTCAGGTTTCTGGTGGATCATTCTCCTCAGAGCCTACACCAAATCCACCGGAGACCATTCTTTGGCTGAAACACCTGAGTGTCAAAAGGGAATGAGACTCATTCTATCTCTTTGTCTCTCCGAAGGTTTCGATACTTTCCCTACGTTGCTTTGCGCTGATGGCTGCTCCATGGTCGATCGAAGAATGGTAATTATATAAGTTTCTTCTCTCTATAAAATCATTCAAATCAATAAGAACTTGGTAGGGTTAAAATTACGATTCGGTTTAGAGAACTATCTACCGAACTATATTAAAAGAAAAAAAATTGGTTTGGTTTGGTTTAATTTGGAGATCAATTTGGTTCGGTTTTGGATGATTAGACTAAAACTTTGGATGAAAAAAGCTTAACGATATGTGGATTCAAGAAACTTATTTTCCTTATACTATAGTTCAAATGATAAATATAAAATTAAGTGGACTCTTTGGTTTTAGTTCGGTTTGTTTGGTATGAAAAAAAACAGTGAAGATTGATTTTAAGACAAATTTAGGTTCGGTTTATATAAACTGAATGAGTGTCCTGTATTTTTGCGCGCGCAGGGGGTTTATGGATACCCGATCGAGATACAAGCTCTCTTCTTCATGGCTCTACGATCAGCAATGTCGATGCTAAAGCACGACGCGGAAGGGAAAGAGTTCATGGAGAAGATAGCGAAGCGGCTACACGCGCTTAGCTTCCACATGAGAAGCTATTTCTGGCTCGATTTTCAGCAGCTCAACGACATATACCGTTACAAGACGGAGGAGTACTCTCACACAGCAGTCAACAAGTTCAACGTCATCCCTGATTCGATCCCTGAGTGGGTCTTCGACTTCATGCCTCTACGTGGCGGTTACTTCATAGGAAACGTTAGTCCGGCTCGTATGGATTTCAGGTGGTTCGCTCTTGGCAACTGTGTAGCCATCCTTGCTTCCTTAGCCACGCCTGAGCAGTCGGCGGCGATCATGGACTTGATCGAGGAACGGTGGGAGGAGCTGGTCGGAGAAATGCCGGTCAAGATCTGTCATCCGGCGATCGAGAGCCACGAGTGGCGGATTGTTACCGGTTGTGATCCCAAGAATACTCGCTGGAGTTACCATAATGGAGGCTCTTGGCCAGGTAATTTTTTTTTTTTTTTATCCTTTCTTGAAATTGTTCTATTTATCAAAGTTATTCTTTACTTTGTGGAAGTCAACATTTGAATATTTGATAGGGATCTAAACTAGTGGTGATTTGCGGTAAAAGGAATGTGTTAAGACAGCTATCTAAATTACTTTTAGACTTTTTAAAGTTGGAAACAAAATCATTGAGGAAAAATGCATGGATCTTCTTTACGGAAAGTTCTTTCATTTGTCAAAATTTAAGTGGAATAAGGAGCTATATTTTGATGTATTTTCAATGGAATAAGGAGCTATATTTTAGGAAAGAAAGTGTGTTAATTTTTTGCATAAAACTGTTTCCTTCTATACTACTATTTACTTTATGTACGGATAATCATTTTTGTGTCTTTTTGTTTTTTCTCCGGCGACCGCAAAAAGCAGTGCTCTTGTGGCTATTAACAGCTGCGTGCATAAAGACGGGACGGCCACAGATAGCGAGGCGGGCCATAGACCTGGCGGAGTCACGGCTTTTGAAAGACGGTTGGCCGGAGTACTACGACGGAAAATCAGGAAGGTTCATCGGGAAACAGGCGAGGAAGTTTCAGACATGGTCCATCGCCGGTTACTTGGTCGCCAAGATGTTGTTAGAAGATCCTTCTCATCTTGGAATGATCTCATTGGAAGAAGATAAACAGACCAAACCTGTCATTAAGAGATCTTATTCTTGGACATGATAAGTCAATTCTTTGAGCAGATTCGGCTGAGCTTTGGTAGTTTCTAAATTTTGTTTTACGAGATCACGCATTTTGTATAATTGTTTTTTTTTTATTATTATTCTTAAGCTTGTAGTGGAATTATGATATTGATAACCATTTTGTATATGATTTTTTTTTCATACTCCATCCGTTTCATAAAGAATGTCATTCTAACATTTTTCACACATATTAAGAAAATTATTAAAAGTACAATTTTATCTCTTATTAATACATTAAATAATTTCTTTTTATCTAATAAATACATTAAATTAATAGGTTTAAAACTGGAATATTGTTTAAATTTTGCATTGAAAATATAAAACGACACTTTTTGTGAAACAAAAATAAAACGACACTTTTTGTGAAACGGAAAGAGTACAATTTATCTTTTTTTTTATAAAATGAAAAACATGTTCAGACATCCTTTAATTGCCAAAAAGTCTCCTATTGTCGATCGTGATGATTTGGCAAAGAAAAGTATGAGTTTTTTTTTTGTTTTTAAAGGGTCTAATTAAAAAGTACGAATATTACTCGAAAATATTGAGCAAACTAACAATGAATACTGATTTAACACGGAATTTGTCTCCTCCTCCAAATCCAAGCAAATCAACTCCTCCAGGTTCGAGTAAGGTGTGCAGTGTTCAGAGTTTGGCTAAATCACGCACAGTATTATTAATTTTGGAAAAGTGAATACGCCTTTTGCATGTTATTCAAACGGAAGAACATGCATGAGAATACTAAATGTGTTTTGTATTAGTGATATGGCACTTTCTTTCTAATCTAAGGCATTTGCTAAATCACTACAAGTAATGTGCGCTGAATCGATTTTGGCTAGTATATATACGATGTTATTGATTTTCTTTTTAAAAAGTGAGAGGACTTTTACATGTATTTGATAGGGAATCCAATAAAATAGTAAACATGATATGTGTTAGTAATATGCACATAGTCTTCAACTCTTCATAGCATTTGCTATATCGCGACAAGCCTACAAGTAAGGTGTGGCATAATTGATTTTGGCTAGTTCACAGTATCATTGATTTTGAAAAAATATATATAAAAGACTTTTACATGTATTTGATACGGAAGAAGATGGAAGGTGTGCTGAGTTGGTTTGGCAAGTCCGTAGGCGTAGAGTCAATGATATTTGAAAAAATGATACGTTTTTTTATATATATTAATTAGGCCGTTTCTACAATATACATATACTGTATGTTCATATAAGTGTGTTTATGTTTCAAATTCTTCATAAAGTTTTTTTTTTAATTTGTCAAATAAATTCTTTGATATAGTACTAACATAATCTCAGACCTGTTAGACAAAACTTATGGTCTTCATGTGAAAAAGGTGATTCTCCTATGAAGTCTGGAAAAACATAACAAATTTTTTTTTAAAGGATGTAATAATTGAAAAAAAATAACATAGAGGCATGGACCATTAGGATATAAATTGAAGAAGAAGAGAGATTCTCAGCCATGCAATAAAAATCGGTTAGTTTTGTCAGGTGATGGCCCCCGCCTCATTTAATTTTTCGTTTGCGTTTAGTTTCCTGACTCGCGAGTCTTGAGTCTCGTGACCCGCCTTTATCCAAATTCCAATGGTAACGATAGCTAGCAAGATTTTACATATTTGATAGCTAACCAATATTTATTTTATATCCACTGTAAATTTACTACAAACGTCACATTAAAGTTTTGTGTAGGCGTAAGGGGTGGTTCAGGGCTGAGATTTTAACCGGAGCCTTCAACATACTCGATCAAGAAGGATGACATCTTTAGATTCTTTACACTATATACACGTATGAATAGATGTAGGAAGTTTACGTATAAATTGATAATACAAAAGAAAGAGAGATAGACTAGTGCATGGCTGGCTAAAGATGATGCGATTCAATCTAGCTATAACTGCATGTGCAACATCATCACTTTCTCCTCTCAACTCGTACTATCATTAATATTCCGCATTTTTATTATTGTTCTTGCATATATAAAATATTTTTGTTATAATTATCGCTTTTCCATTATTCATTGATCATAGATTCGGTTACCTACCACCCAACATCTCACATGTTGTTTTCATCTATCTTCTACCCCATCTCACCTGCTTATATTCTAGAATTTGGCCTCTCTTGGAATAATAATTTTTTATAAAAGAAAGCTAAGAAAATAGAAACAGTTCGTCCGTTTAAGTTATTGAATTCTAAATCGGAGGATTCTATACCGCGGGCTACATACAACTTGTATAAGTTGTTAAAATTATTAAAAATCATAACATGCGTTTTTCTTTATAATAAAAAATGAGAATTGTAAGTGGTATTTATACACAAATTTATCAAAACTATTGCATGTTTTGATCATATATTTTGAATTTACTCCCTTTTACTGTCATTTTACTTCGTATACATAATACATAAAATCATGTATATATAATATATTGGTCATAGACTGCAAATATATCTTTTGATTGTTTTTTTTTTTTGTTTCTTTCAAAAATGCTACTTTTATTTTCATATAATTGTGTGTAAAAAGGTTTAAGGCCATCAATGCAGAGAAAGGCTTTACATGTTACAAAATTCAAAGGATTTAACGGTTCAATGAAATAAGATTGTCTCTAGATGCACATGATATATAATTCTGTAATTTATATCTGTAAAACGAAACCACACTTACATATTGTTATTACACCAGCTTTTAGGTGAGATTCTACCTAAAAGAGCCTAAACTTCGATTTCGTTATATATCATATTTCTTTTCAATAGAAAGAATGTTTAAGGAAACCACATGCTGGAACCAGATTGGAGCTGGCACGTTACACGATGTCCACAGTCCACTCTAAAAGCTTAAGATAATGGTGATGACTATTAATTATAATCATAACAAATTAACAACAACTATTCAATAAACTTTTTTTTGTTAAATCGGTGACGTGCTTCTTCTAAAAGCTTAATGTGTAAATTTCAATTTTTGATTGCTGACTAAGGATCCATTCATGTGTTGATATCCATTACGTAAACGAAGATCTTAGTCAGTTTTTAAAGAAAGACCCTCGAGAATATTATTTTGTTATTCTCTAGCTATCAATTGCAATTATCTTATCATGTTTATATGCTACACTCGTCATTCCCCGATAAGCAAAAAACGCAACCGGAAGCGAAGTGAAAGCCATGTTGACTTTAATTTTTTTTTTCTTAATGAGACAAACAAGAGGAGAGGGATTTAACTTCTAATCACAACGCTTGATTACAACTCAATTGATGATTAATGATAGCGGAAATGCTCGATTATAAATAGGCATTTGAGACATGTGTCAGTCTCCAGAGAGATTTTGTGTTTTGAGATCCTCCAAAATCACATGACTGCGTGGCCTAAGCAAGAGCAATCGAGTTGCATATATACACTGAAATAACCACTATACATATATGTAAATGATTAAACACAAAACCACCTATGACCTATAAATATAACGGTATTGATGGTACTAAACGATTTTTTCTGGAAACTCATTGAATGAAAGAATGAACCTAAAAAATGAAATTTTATGTTCGAACATGCCTGCCTGCACAACGATTATTGTGAAAATAATCTTTGTCACGTGACATAATATTCTGTCACGTTTTCGAAATTTTGTTTATGTTTCTGAAAATACTCGAAAATTCATAGGAAAGTAAAGTAAAAACGAGCACACCGAATCCAGGGTTTAGCTTAATTATCTGAAATACGGAAACTAAGTGGGTGAACTCTGTCAAATCATTAAACTGAGGGAAAGAAATGCGAATAGCAAAAACGTTAGGACCAAAAACTGAAGAAAAAAAACACAGACAAAAAGCGATGACACCAAACCAAACATTTAGGTATGGTTTTGCGTCTGCGTCAAAGACTGCGTAATTGCTCTGCACATCATCTGCAATATATCTAGTCACTCTGTCTCGTAGGTTTACGATATATAACTAATTAATGTTAGGAAACAGTATAAATAATTCGGTTGAATTAGTTAGTTGTGCATAGCCTTTACCTGAAAATTGACATGGAAAATATATCTAATGGATTTGATCAAATAACAGATAATGGTATTATATTTATAATTAATCTCTTTCACATCAGATAAATTATGCTATTTTGTTACTTGATGCGTTACAAAAGAAAACAAAATTACAAATTAAACTAATATATGAAAGATTCCTAAAGAATTTTCGACTCCCAAATGGTTCTAACATCGGAAATTCGACAACTCCGACACGACTCATCATGGGACCCTATCCGACAACATAAACACACCGAAGCCTGAGCCCCGAACAACTCAGGGCCCCACCGTCGAGTCGACTCGGCCGAGTCAAGATTCGCCTTCCGAGTTGACTCGTACCGATAACTCGTCGTCGCTGGTCCAACAGAGAGTTCCAAGTTGAGCACCCAATCGTCGTCCGTCTGAATATCTTTCTCCGTCGTCGTTCCGCTACTCGAGCAGTTATTATAACCTTCTTCCCGGTTTTGTACCCCCGGTTCCGGTTTAACCGTCGGTTGTTTATCCGGTCCGGCGAAATCGAATTTTACAGACTCGTCGACGACACCGGTTTGAAGAGACGGCGTCGCTTTGGATGGAGCGTTTGTGGATTCGTTGATCGGACGGTGTGTGTTTGGGTCGATCCCACGGCTGAGAAGCTTCCTCTTGATGTGAGTGTTCCAATAGTTTTTGATCTCGTTGTCTGTTCTTCCTGGTAATCTCCCAGCAATCAATGACCATCTGCAATTGAATTCCCCAGAATTTATCAGTGTTTTTCCCACAAAAATCACAGATAAAGGTTGAAAATTTCCAAAATCCCATGAGAAAATTCCACCCAAATTAGTAAATTTCACTCATGATTTTTGTTTTTGTTTACAAGATCCTCTGTTTTGATTGATGAAAGAGAGGGATAGAGGGAGAGAGGAGACTAACTTGTTACCGAGCAAGCTATGGAGTTTGATGATGAGTTCGTCTTCTTCCTCAGTGAAATTACCTCTCTTGAGATCTGGTCTTAGATAATTCATCCATCTCAACCTACAACTTTTACCACATCTCTGCAACCCTGCAAGATTTCATTAATTTAATTAAATCAGCCTCTCTCTCTCTCTCTATATATATACATATATGCAGAGGATATATGTAGTACCGGCGGCTCGAGGGAGAGATCGCCAGCAACCTTCACCGTGTTTGCGAATGTAATCAACGAGAAGCTGATCTTCTTCTTTAGTCCAAGCTCCTTTGTTCATATGTGCTTTCTCGCAGCAAGGTGACCTTCCCATCTCTCCTTTAAATCTCTTCGATCTCTCAATCTCTATGTGTATGTGTATATGTGTCTTATGTGGAGGAAGAGGACTTTGGTGTGTTTTTGTTTTCAAGGAAGGGAGGTTCCTGTAGGATGTTTCGTTTTGAATGTTATTTATAATAACTAACAAACTATATTTTAATACCCAAGCCTATAGTTTGATCTGCAAATGAAGTTTAATTTTTTAATTAGTTGTGTGCCAAAGAATATTGTAACCACCGGGGAAAAATTATTTTTGATTGTACACTCACAGGAGGAACGTGGGGGAGTTTCCTAACTTTTTCTCTCCTTTTCTTTGTTATCTATTTCAGATGCAGATCGTACGGTTTGGTTATTGACTTTTCCGTTTTTTAGATAATCTGGGAAAATATCATAATGATTTTACCATTCCACAAAATCTTTTTTACCAATCATAAGTTTCTTTTTACTTAAAATTTATCATCTCAAATTACATTGAAGTGTAACATCACTGCTCTTAACCATTCTTATTGCATATTATTGAATATGTCACCTAAGCTACAAGGACCTTCTTCATATCTGTGTGAAAAAAGAGAGTAGATCTGCCATTTCTAACAGTTTAACTGTTTTATCAAATCTTAATGCGTCAATTGAAAAATATATATAACCTAAGCTTAGCATAAATATACCAGCAATGTTGTATTTATTTATGCTTAAAAGAAAAAAAGAAAAGAAAAGAAAAGAAAGAGAGAGTAGATCTGGAAGAAAGTAGGTAGATAGATTGGGGAAGATGAGTAGGTAGCTGTCTTTTTATCTCAATACTCAACCTCTCTCTCTCTCTTCCAATCACTCTCTCCACACGCTACTTCTCTCGCATACTTCCACGTGTCCTCCCATCTCGTATGATTTATCACTCTCCCTCTCTTTGTCTCCTTGTTCAAAATTATTTATTTATTCTTATAGATTAGTTGGATAACTGAATTATTGGGTTGGGCATGTGTATTTCTGTCTCTTCTTGGTCTTCTACTGTTGTGTTGTGTCCGTTAAGCTATATATCGAATTTTCATTACAATGACGGTCCAATTAAAAATATATACTATTACGTAACAATTGCTTATTTAATTTTCAAATGGGTTTCTTTCTTGGTATAGAATCATATAAATGTTAATATTCTTTCGTCCACGGTTATACTCATTTAGACAAGTTATCGAAATTGTTGTTAGTATAAAATAGGGTTGATTTTTACAACGTGATGTAATACATAAACACAAAATATCATAAACTTATAAAAGTCTACTATTTAACAACCTATCTTTCTCACTTGTGCTTAGTTCTCTCTTTTTTTGTTCTTTCAAAAAGGACATCAATTTTGGTCATTTGCACCATTATAATGTGTCGACGAAAAATTCTTAAAGAAAACAAAAGACGGAGTATAAGATTAATACAAAAAGAATCTAGCACATTTTAAAAAATCTCATCAAAATTGTTTTTGAGAATGTATCTTAAAAATTGATAAAGATTTTGACTGTCGTTATATGCGAAGTGATAAAAAAAGAAAAGTTAGTTTATAAATTTATTCAACCATACACTTTCGACCAATCTATTCTTCTTTATCTAATATTTTTTTTTTTTTCAACCATACAATTTTTTGTTAAGTGTTCTATGATCCAACCACTGTGCAATGTTTTCGTTTTAACCACTGTTCAATTTGACGTCCACTATTCAGTGGTTTATGGGAGCCATAAGCTATGAATAACTAAAAACCATCATAAGAGATATGGACCTTTTGTTTAACCGTAGGCTCTGAACCGGGTATCTCGTATATTTTGCCGTATTCCGTACCATTAGGCCGTCACTTGCCAGGCCCAACCTGGCTAATTGCAACTAATTAAGATGTATACTCCGGGCTGTTTATAGTGTATTTGATATGCGCCTTTTGGAAATAGAGATAGTCTCCTATTGTAAACCGGTTATCGACATTCTTTCCAATCCTATGAATGGCCTAGATATTGCACTTTCCAGTTCTATTACCTCAATCTAGATGTTGTTCCTTCACCGTAGCATTGCCCTCGACGAATTCGATTGTAAGAGCTGAAAACGTTACAAAAAGATGGCCGTCTTCATTCATGTTTGTCAATGGGTGGCCCGGCTTAGCTTCATGATCGTCTTCTTGCGGAGCAAAATACGAGATTTTACTTTAATGTTGAGTCTCGAGTGGTAATTTTAATTGTTGCTCTGTTTTTATTATTTGAAAGTCAATTGATAAAAAAAATTATCGTAAGAACCACAAATACAAACAACACAAATAAGAGTACTTGGCTTTGATAGTTATAATCCTTATATACGTTAACGTTTCCGAAGAAACCTTGTAAGAAATGTTTCTTTGCATTTTTAAACGTTTCGTTTCCGCATATCAAATTATGATTCCATACAACCTTTATAACTTTCTTTTTATTTAGTCTGTCAAATTTGAAAAGCCTTAATGAAAATATACATTATGTCCAAAAGATAAACTTTTACTATACTTGCAAGTTATACAACTAAAAAGCTATAGAGATAGAAAACATGTTCATCACAAAATTTAACTTTGTGTAAGAGAAACAAGTAGTATACAATTCTATCTTTCGCCTCTCTGTTCAGGCGTCAACCCTCCCTTGCCACATTTAGGACAACTCTTCATACCGAATCCTTGACATTCGAAACATCTGCACATTTTCAGTTTCTCAATATAGTATTTACATAATAACTCATCAAACTAGAAAATTGTTTATTCATCTTTTTAATTTGTACTTACTTCCACCTCTCAAAAATATTTCCGTTCTTCTTATTTTTACCTGTTCCCTGGAGGCAGGCAACATAAAAATTCTTCTATCATACAAATGCTTCTTGCGAAAATAAAAATAAAAATACATATGCAGAAATATAGATTAAAAAGAGTAAGATCAATATCTATGGTTTGGAAAAACAAAGTAGAATTGATTCGATTGAACATACGGTACATATATAGACTCACTTGAAGATATGGTTAGAATATAGTGATTTAAGATTGAATTAGTACCTTGCAACCGGGACAATCAATTGCTCCTTTGGCTCCACAAGTCTCACAACTTTTGAATATCTGTTATTTTCCATCACATATGTAAACCTTTGAAGAATCAACAAAAACTCTTCACTAACGATGCTTTTGCATATTGTTGAGTTGTGAAAACCTACCGAACCAAGAGAAAAATTTCCGGATTTTGCTGCAGAAACTTTGATGGAATCGCTTCGTCCCAAAACAATCTTTCTTTTCGTCTGCGAGATATAAGTCGTCAGGGGAGCAGCAAAAGCTAGAATCTTCGATTCTAAAGATAACTCACTGCAACAAAGTGGGAATTTCAACATTTTGTAATTCAAATTTCGAGTGACATACACTTGTTCTGTATATCGATATCACTATATGCAAATATGGATGGTGGGAAAAACAGAAGAATTTGCTTGGTTGTGGACCTTGTGGTTTGTGGATATCGAAACAGATCATGTGGGGATCGGGTAAATGGGTAATAATGTAATATGTTAATGGAGGATTGGCTTAAAATATGAAGCATATAAAAATGGTGTGGATAAGAAATAAAAAATCCTCAGTGTCAAAGTTTTTCTTCCCGTTTTTATACTTTTAAACTTTCATTATTTAAAAATAGTTTACTAATTTTTGCGCCTCCATCAGTAAATATGTATGTATACATCAAGAGAAGAATTTTTTTTTTTTTTCGACTACCCAACTATTACATCACTGTTAGCCAGGCTGAGAGCAGTTTTGGGAGCCGAATACATCAAAAAAAGATATAATGGTAGTATTTAAAGTTTTATAGTTTATATAATAATTAATTAACTATTTAAAATATTACTTAATATACGGAGAAAAATTAATTTTTTTTGAACTATTTATAGAAAATGCCGATTTTACGCTCATTGGAGTGCTGATTTTTTTTTATTTACTACACATGTACTATAAACTTTAAATTAAAATATGTTAATTTTTTCATTATTACTAAATTTTAAATTATAAGGCTGTATTACATAAAAAATACTTTAGAAATGCATCCAATTTTGATTAACAGAAAAAATTGTTTTTTCAAAAAATAATAAAAAAAGGGACAAAGAAAAGGATAAACAATGAAATAAACTAGAAAAGTACGGAAACGCCTTTCTAAGTTCCTTTCTAAGTTTTTCCTTTTTTTTAATCGATGACTACTTTTGCTTGTATACTACTAAATAGCCTTGTTTGCAAACCAGTCGTCGACAAAAGAAAAGGAAACATTTAAGAAATCCAAAAAAAAAACAGGGTTAAAGAAGTAAATATGCACTTAAAATTATTACAGTATAAGTCTTTTATTGTTGGACGACACAACTTAACAATCTTGGAAACAAGAAGTAAAAGGTTTCAACACTTACAAATGTAATTTCTCGATAGGAGATGAAATGTCCATTCTTCTTCCAACCTGATTCATAAGAAGATAAGAGTCACGTTAAAGCACATATTGTACCTTATTATATACAGCAATATCTAAATAACTAAACTCAACTCGCCACATACATCATTATTAAATACATGAGGTACTTGCACAAATAACCCACAATTTAAAGTCAAATGCAAAAGTAATCTCTTTTTTCTCCTTCTTTAATAAATGTCACTTTCTCCCTACTATCTCCTTACAACCACATATATTCACAAAAATGCCATTATGTTTTTAGTTTTTTTTTATAAAAAAAAAAATACTAAAAAGACACAACCATTCTAAAATATATCATTTATTTACGAAAATGCCATCTTCTTCAATTTTGCCAACCACCATTACCAACTAGTTTTGAAGCTCTAAATGTTTGTCCAACCAATTTTTAAACTCTAAATGCTTATTATGTCGCCTATAACTTCATTTTATCTACAATTTTCTCTCCAATTTCATCTAAAAAACTCTTTCATGCTCATTTTTATAAATTCCAATTTCATAAATCATCTATTTTTGGAGATTCTTGCATAACAACGACTTAGCTAGTTTGTTATCGGTGCTATACAAAATTCTGGGTGTTTGTCAAAGTTAATCGAATTTAAATCGTAAGTAGGTAAACATCTACTTTTTCTTTAACATTTAGCTCTGTTTCGCGAAAGTAGACTTCTTTTTCAGTCTGCTAGTCAACGCAGAGGTTAGATTTGCAATTGACTTTTTTTAATATTTGTGTAAGCAGACTTCAAAAGAAGTCTGCGAATTGTCCTTTGTAAACAAAAAAAATCATGTAGACTTTTTTTGCAGTATGCGAGAAGAAAATGTTATTTTTGCATTTGACCAAAAAAATTGAAGAACTTTGACTTTTATAGCAGACTTCTTTAGAAATCTGCTATTTCGTAATTTGATTCGAGAGGTTATTTTTGCAATTGACCAAGATTTTGATAACTTTTGACTTTTATAGAAGACTTCTTTAGAAATCTGCTATTTCGTAATTTGACTCGAGAGGTTATTTTTGCAATTGACCAAGATTTTGACAACTTTTGACTTTTATAGCAGACTTCAATTGAAGTCTGCTACAAAAAAAATAAATAGCAGACTTCTGCTTTTTATTTAATTAAGATTCAGTCAAATGCAAATCTGACCTACAAGCAGACTGTTAAAGAAGTCTGCGCATAGCAGAAGTCTGCTTCGAAAGTCAACCTTTTGGTCAATTGCAAAAATAACCTTGAGTAAACTTCTTTTGTAGAGTAGACTTCATAAGCAGACTTCTTTACTATAGCAGAATTTTTTTACTCGTCAGCAGACTTTAAGAAGTCTGCTTTAAAAGTCAAACTTTTGGTCAATTGCAAAAATAACATTTTCTTCTCGCAGACTGCAAAAAGAAGTCTACTATGAAAAGTCAAATATTTGGTCAAATGCAAAAATAACCCTTTTTTAGAAGACTTCAACGTGAAATTTCCCCGGCGGAGTTTGAACGGATGTTTGTATTTTTTTTTTAATTTTTAAAATGCATTTTATAAAGTATTTGTAATGTTTTTTTTTTAATTTTAAATTGTAAATGCATTTTATGTATGATTCTTGCACCTGTATGAGTTTGGTGTGTTTATGTGTTATAATTATAAAGTTATGAATTTTTTTGGTTTGAAAGGTAATTAGCACATCTAAGCAGTAGAAGTCTATAGATGAAGTCTGCTGTTACGTATTAGCATATCATAGCAGACTGCATACGAAGTCTGCCTAATTATTTTTTTAAAAAATTTATTTTTGAAATATTTGTTACTTGTAAAAATGATTTTCTTGTTTTGACATGTTTATTTGTTTTTTGTGTTGCATTTATATGAATTTGACGTTATTATGTGTTATAATTACAAAGTAATGAATTTTCTTGTTTGATTTATCTATTCTTGCAGACTTCTAAAGAAGATTAGAAGTCTACTTCCTTTCAATTATTTTTATTTGTTATTGTTCTTGCATTTGTATAAGTTTGAAAAATCAGTTATTCTTGCATTTACCTGTCATGGTTTGTCCTCAACTTTAACTATTGGCCATTTTTGTTAACGGTCTTGATAATATATAAATTACTTTATTAACGCGTACAACGTTAGCAAACTCTTGTGGTCTGGTGGAACAGACCCACTTGTTGCCCAAAGTACGTGGGTTCGAAAAAAACAAAATGCCTAAAATATTTGGCTTGTTTTTCTTTGTAGGATCTTATCAACAATCGTGTCTTTATTTTAAATAGTTACTATACATAATAACAATTTTTTATTTTGCCACATTGTTACAGTTATGAATTAGAACACAAAGTTATATTCTATATTCAAAAAAATATAATCTATTTCGTTATTTTATAGAATATTTAAATACATATAGCTACTTATGAACTCATCACATAGATCATTATTAAATAAATATGGTTAACACAGGTTGGTCTTGCCCGAAAAAACAAAATGCCCAAAATATATCTTATTTTCCTTCGAGAGATTTTATCAATAATCTTGTCTTTATTTCTTTTCTTTTTTTTTCGCAATCTTGTCTTTATTTCTAAATATTTACTATAGATAATAATAATTTTTTATTGTGCCACATTGTTACAGTTATGAATTAGAACATAAAATTATATCATGTATTCAAAACAATATATAATCTATTTTGTTATTTTATAGAATATTTAAAAACCCAAAAATATAAACGAAGAAACTTCTCCTCTCGTAAAAACTCGGATATAACATCATCTTTTAGATGCTCCATTGCCATCCTAAAAACAAAAACAATAAAGAAAGAAAGATGCGGTTAACGTTCAGAATATGACAAAAGTATATAAATAGAGGAGATTCTACAAGAAAACCTTAGATTGAATTTACAAATACCCATAAAATGGGTTTTTTCTTAAGTTAAAAAAAAAAACAAAAATAGATCCTGAAAAAAAAACACAGCTTGGAGAAAACTAAACAACATCTTTTCTTGAAAAAACTTTAATGACTTAAAAACCAAACCCTGAAAAAATCCTAACGTTTATCTTTAAAAAACAAGATTGAAAGAAGAAAATGAAGAAGAAAACCTTAGATTGAATTCGCAAATACCCACAAAATGAGGGTGTCCTTCTTCTTTTTTTTGGGACTAAAAAAACAAGAACCCAAAGGAGATTCTGAAGAAAACGCTTGAGAACTAAACAATATCTTTTCTTGAATAAACCCTAACGACTTAGAAACCAAATCTGAAAAAAAAAGAAAAAAAAAAAGAAAAAAAGTTAAAACCTAAAGTCTTTCAACCAAAATGAAAAGAAAACCTAGATTGTGAGAATGAAGAAGCAAACCTAGATTGTGAGAAATCCTGAGTGAGCTAGAGAGAGTTTGTGAGAATGAAGAAGAAAACCTAGATTGTGAGAAATCCTGAGTGAGCTAGAGAGAGTTTGTGAGAATGAAGGTTGTGTGAGCTTTTGTAATACAGAAACTTCATTTTTTTATAACATTTCTCGTTGCTCTCTCTCTCCTCAATGCCTTGCTTGAGCATTGAACCAGTCACACATTGCATCTACAGTGCCTTCGCAGACCAATGCTACAAGAGCAAAGGCCATCTTTTCTTTTTCATTTTTTTGTGTTGGTTTTTCTTATTTACTATACATAATATAAACTTTAAATTAAATGTGTTAATTTTTCATTATTACTAACTTTTAAATTATAAAGCTATATTACATAAAAAAAAAAAATTTAGAAATGCATCCAATTTTGATTAACTGAAAGTAATTTTTTTTTTCCGAGAAATAATAAAGAAAGGGACAAAGGATAAAGTAAACAATGAACAGAAATGAAAAAACTAGAAAAGTACGGAAACGCCCCTTGTTTTTGCGGGTTCAAAACTTCCGAGCTATCGTTCCCCGATCGCAAATAATCGCCTGAAACCATCGCCGGCTTCAGAGAAACTCGACCGTTCCCGGAGAGATTGATTCGCCATGGCGAAATCGGAAAACTCGACGACTTCTAGTTTTTCGTCTTTCGCCAAGATTCAACCGTCCAACGATGCGGAGACCGAT